AAATGGCAGTCCAGTCACTTCTTGAAGGCTTCCAGTGTTGAAACTTTCACAACTTCTGTCCCATGGGTTGGTTGCTCTCACTGTTCTTCCCTTACTGTGTGGTATCTGTGGGGTGGGGGTGGGGAAGGTGAGAAGAGATTGCCCTAATAGCTCATTTGGGGGGGGGGGTGTCCCGAAGAGTCAATTCCCTCACCCCTACTTTAACAGGATAGCAGTTGCTTTGAGGACCATTACCATCAATAGCAATCTCTATGGAGATTCTCAGTCATCCAGGTCATGGTTGTCCCAAAGGTGTTTTTTCAGGAGGCAAGAAAGTCCAGTTGCCTTCCTGAAAAAGCACCTTTGGGACATCAATATCAACATTTCCATCTGGATGGGGCCAGGTATGCTGTAGAAGCCAGATAGGATGTCTATTTCTATGGGCTGAAGGTAAATATTAACCAGATGTACGTTTTGTTTAAGGACCACCTGTGTGCTCCAGCCTCAACTTCAGATGGGGTGTTGCTGTCAGCAAGTCCTCAAAATGGAAATCCTGCTGGATGGACGGTGGAGGCCATGACAGGAGTCCTTTGCCCAACTCTGCCTGGTGCAGAGCTGGACCTTATGACACCTAATCAGATCGCCACCATGTGCCACTGAAGATTACACAGAAACGTGGCTACTTGGATGCTGCTTCAGACACCCATGTGGTGGGTGCTCCATTGCCTGTCGGTAGGTTTCGGGCTTCAATTCAGAATGCTGTTTTGACCTTTTAGAGCCACTCATTAGATTAGGCTCCATAAGTATTTTTCAGACCACTGTTTGCAAATACCTGCCATTATTGGAGATCTTTTTAGTCCCCTCCACTTGGGAGAGTAAGAAGGGGGTAGAGTTTTGTGAGGTGGCCTCCATCTGTTGGAATGGCCTCCCTTAGAAATCTCAATTCCCTTCCTAGATGTTTATGAGATTTGATTGGATTGGTGCCAATGAGTTTTCTCACTTGGATGATTTTACTCCTTTATGTTTTCTGTCTTCATTTTTATCATTTATTATTTTATCCAGCTTTATATTCTATGACGATTGCAGCTCAGAGGTGGTAATTTCTGTTGTTAGTTGCGAAGTCGTATCCAACCCATCGTGACCCCATGGACAACATTCCCCCAGGCCTTCCAGTCCTCTACCATTATCTGGAGTCCATTGAAGCTCACCCCGACTTCTTCAATGACTCCATCCAGCCACCTCACTCTCTGCCGTCCCTTTCTTCTTCATTTGCCCTCCATTGTTCCCAGCATGAGGCTCTTCTTCAAGGAGTCCTTCCTTCTCATTTGATGGCTCATTCAACTCTCATTGAGTTTCCTCTTCAGGATCTGGCCTTCTAAAGAGCAGTCAGAGTTGATCTCCTCTAGGAGATCAGTTGGATGGCCTTGCAGTCCAATGGACTCACAGGCGGTAGGTAGGTAGGTAGGTAGGTAGGTAGGTAGGTAGGTAGGTAGGTAGGTAGGTAGATAGATAAATAGATAGATAGAT